TCTCACGTACTCTTTTACATTGCAATGGTACGTGGTACATCTTAAACTTTCTATTTTGCATTTATACGATATGCGTTTTACAAACAACTATAACGGTAGAATGATTTTGCTTAATGGCTAAGACTTTAAAATTTCTCTAGCTCGCATATGCACTTAAATGATTGCTGTATAAATGTCTATTGTGATGGTTTTGTTTTAAAGATGCAGCTTAGCGGATGGCGTTTGTGCTATATGCATCAGAGACTGGATTTCCTTTTCTTTTCTTTTTTTTTTTTTTTTTTTTTTTTTTTTTTTTTCGGGATTTGAAAAAATTGCTGAGCTGACAGATTTTTTTCCTCCTAGCGCTTGCTCGGTTCTAGAAAGGGGTGGGGGGAAATCCTGTACGTGCTCTGTTCTGTAAAAGACGTCTGGCCACAGCAGTCAACCTAACCCGAAAAGAAATGTCTGGACCCGGAGAATAATTGACGATTCGATCCTCTAATCAATGGGAAAACATGGGAGATTGACAAAAGCTTTAGCCAATCGTGAGAGAGCTTGGCGTACAATGGTTCGCAATAGCCAGAGGGGGCGGGGAAGAGGAGATCTGAAGTTCTCTGCGGCTCTGAAAGGGATGGTGTGGTTCAAGCTGTCAAAGCTACAAGCTCTTCCGGATTTAGCAAGCACAATAGGAAAGAGTTTTCGAGTTTTTTTAAAAAAAAGGTTATTGGGGAATTTTTTGCATGCATCGTATGCCTTCTTCTTTGCCCTTTGGAAAAAGTCAGAAAAAATCTTCTAGAGAAATATTTGACTTTGCATTAGTTATTTGTGACCCCAGAAAAGTTGGTAACTATTGTGGAAAGTGAGGTTCAACTTCTTTTAAAAATGTGTGGATTAAATCTTGCCTGAATTGTGGGACTGTAGTGAGCTTTGGGAATATATTGTGTATTCAGCATTACAAAACTTCTCGCTCTCATTATTTTAGAAGCTTTGACATTTCGAGTACTTTGAAGGAATGGGCAAGCCTCTCTTGAACTCTGAACAGTTTTAAGGGACAGAGAATGTTTCACAGGTGGGCTGACAGCTGTTTGATAGATTTAAAAGGAAGCGGGAGGAAGGGAGTGGTTTTTCTTGGCTTTTCTTGAATTCTGCTGTTTAAGTATATGGTGAGTAGCAAATAGGACATTGAGACTGGCCAAGTTCACATTTCTTCTTGTTACCACAACAACCCCTGTGGAGGGTGCGAGTGTGGAAGATCGCTGACTTGCTGTTAGCTGGTCTAGCCTCTTGGACAAGTCCTTGACAATAATCCAGTGGAAACCAATTGCAGTAGCTTGACTTGGAGACAGTATCTAGTAGCCTCTGACTAAAATATATCCATCTCCTCCTCTCTCAGCAGTGTAGACATCTAATTCTGTTGGGAAGTGAATGGAAAATAAGATGGGCTCTTTTCCTTCTTTGGATTAAATTCCCATTGAGCTATTTCCCAAGGCTTTAGGCCTTCCAATCAAATCTGGCTTGGAAATTTGATGTAAGAATTCACTTGGATGCTCACTTGAGCAATATGATTCAATTTCGGGTTATATGCATGTACAAAAGATCTGCACACAAGTCACCAGTAGGTCAAAAACTAAAGAAGAAAAATGTTGTAAAATGCTGGTTAATAAAGTTAGTCTTGGTAAGAACTACAGAGCTAATGGTGTTGTCACTTATGAATCCCAGTCCTATCTTCACTGCTTTGGGCATTAAAATCTAAATCATATTAATACGATCTCCCTATTAAGTAACCTCCAAAATGAGAGGTATTTGAGATGTACATATAAGTGAAACCTTATTGACGTAATTTATATATCTAAAGAGGATTTCACTAAAGCTGGCAAGGTAACGTTTCTGCAAATAAAACACAGTAAATGCAAGGCTGGGCTCTGTGCCAGGAAGAATATGGATAGCAGAGAGCATGACAGGAGCCTCCTTTGCGCAGAGACAATCCCATTTCAAGGCAGCCTCCTACCACTTGCAAAATAAATGATTGGAGCGGTTATTTCCAATAAGGGGTTTATCCTTCCTAACAATGGGTCATTTATATGATTGGAGTAAACTAGTTTTCCTACTTCACCTGCGTTTCCTACACTGCTCTCTTTCCTTTCCTTCTTCCCTCCTACCTCCATCCCTGCTTTCTCTCAAGTGTCTTAGTATCTTTGTGAACTCTGGACAAGGATTTACTTTTGCAACTTGGGAAGAGGGGAGAGAGTTGGAAATGTTTCTTACCCCCAGTCTGCCCTTTGAGGAACATCTGTTTCTTTGTGTGTGTGTTTAAATTTATGCCTGTTGGAGAGAAAGTTACCAGAAGCCTTTTTGTAACTGTAACTCTTCTACTGTATTTTTCTCAGTCTTGTTTCCAAAGGCTGTAGTTGGAACTGTGCTTTGGAGTGTTTCCCCCGCCTACCCCCTCCCCCCTCCGCGGGGGAGGGAGCGGGAGCTGGCGGAGATAGGAGAGAAAGCAGGAGCGGATGTGAAGGGCTTTGGTGCTGAACTTGGATCCAGCCCTTGCCTAGAGGGCGCAAACAATCGTCCCATATCCAAAAGTCTTACGAAGGGCGCCAAAAGTTACTTAAGATAATATTGCTAACCGCAGAAAGCTGGAAATCGCGGGCACATCCACTGCTGCAACAAAAGAAGTTTTTAAAGTAGAAATACCAGCATTAAATTACTTTCCCCCTTTTCTTAAAAAAAGAAAAAACAGGGCGACGTGCCAGTCCTTAAAAAAAAAAAAATTCTTTTTTTCTTCCTTGAGACTCAATCAAAAGTAAGAATCTTTGCTGTTTTGAAAAGAGGCAGATGTGAAGCGTATCTTTTAATGCACCAAAAGTATGATTTTAATCTGCTCTGGAAGAGAGCTTCCCAAGAGTACACGCTCGGAACAATAACTTCTCACTGTGCCTCAGTTACACGTTGGGACCGTCAGCCAGAAACTTCTATCGAGGAAACCTGGAGCGCGTTGAAGTTATAGATCCCAGCAAAGGTTTTCGTGGCCAGGGATGTTGTCTCTGTAACTGGACTTAGCTTAGCTTTTAGGACATCTCTCCCTACTGAAATCCAAGAGGAACCAAGGAAAAATAGTTGTTTAGTTTGGAAAAATGGGACTCATTAAAGGTTGAAGTCATTATTTCCCCTCACCCCTTAATAAATAATCTGAGAGATTTCCAAGGGTATTCAGGAGGAGGGGGAGAGAATGGTTTCTTGAGCATTCGGGAACTATTTTAGCAATAAAGTAACCAGAGTACAAGCATTAAATAACTTTAGACAGATGTAGAATTATTTCAGAGGATTTTATTTTGCTCTTTCTCCAGTAGCATATTTCCTGCCCCTTACTTATAAAAAAAAAAAAAAAAAAAAAAAAAAAGGAAAAGAAAAGAAAAAAGAAAGAAAGAAAAGGAAAGGAAGAAAAAGAAAAGGTCTGAATGAGTGGCCTTAACACATCACTCACCCTCACTTGCCGAGTGGGCATTCCTATAGGAATTTCTTCTCTTCAGGGACTCTCGAGCTATGTCACCTCCATCAAGGAGTAGATTCCCCTGTCTGTGTGCCAGTGTCTTTCAACGTGATACCCTCTTCTATTCCTTTGGAATTTTGAGAAGGGTTGGCCAATACGGCATGCTGCAAACTACAGTGAGGACAAGGAGAAGGAAAAGATGGGATGGGGATTTAGAGGAGGTTGGAGGAGGCAGGTATATCCACCCCCCCAGAACCTAGAGAGAAATATGAGGTTAAAAAAACTGGAAAAGCAGGCTTATTGGCAACTCGCCAAACCCTAAAAACCACCCCCCTTTTCTGCCAAAACAATGCTTTAGCAAACCTAAAATAATTGCAGGAAGCTTTTTTTCATTTTAAGAACTATTACCTGGGGGAGGGAAAAAGGGGGGATTCTCAAAAGGCACCCTTCCAGAGGTGTCCCGGGAACAGGGACAGTAATGATAGCCTATGTCCAGTTTTGGGCACGCATTTGTGGATCAGAATATCTCCCAACCCTAAGGGGACATCCCTTCCACATTTTTTTTTCCTCCTAAAGAGAAAAAGATGTCACAGCTAAACCACTGTTGTTCCTGAACGTGACAGAACTTTTCGTATGGCGTCTGTGTTTAAACCCACCAGTTTCACAGTCCTGGGAGGGAGAACGCTCATTAATCTCCGCCTTCCTTTCTCCAGACCCCCCGCCCCAAATCCGGTGAATCTTCTGTGTGAAATGATTCCCCACCACCCCTGCTCCTGAATGCCATAGGACTGAAGCTGCACAAAGTTTGCAGGATTTTTGTGCATAATTACCTCTGCCGACCAATCTATTCCCACAGAAAGCCTCGCCGGAGAGATTACAATGCTTTGAGCCTTACCGCATTTCGGAGGAGAAAAAAAGTTACCTAGGAGGTCCGATTTTTAAAAGAAATTTGCATACATGCAAATGTGCCGCCCGGCCGCCTCCGCGGTTCTCGGCGTGCCCACACAGTGGCCCGGGGGGTGCAGGGCCACCTGGCAAAGTTGCCCAAGTCCTCCACCGAGGTTCGCGAAGGTCTGCGGCGGGGGTGGGGGGATGGGGCCGAGGAAAAGTAGTTTTGTTTGCTTAAGCACATCCTGTGGCAGCCTATAGCTGCCCGGGAGGACAGACTGTAACTGCTCCTCACTGCGTTACCCAGTAATGCGCTGAGCGGG